ATGTTGCTGTTTTTTGTTTGGTTCATTCAGTTGTGAGTTACAGGGTGTTAATAATGGAAGTGAACAAAGAGAAAATTCCGTACATTTTGCAGTTATTCTTTGACAAAGGTGAAAATGCAAGCCAAGCGGCTAAAATTGTGAATGGGGTTTGTGGTTCCGATACTGTAACAGCCAAAGATGCTGATGATAAAGATGGCCGTCGACTGGCCAACCTGTGCGGTACAATCGGAGAAATGATCGAAGTTGACCCGCATGTTAGCAGTCGTAACATCGACCAGGAGCTAAAAAATCGGTCATAAAACTGTTTTAAACCATTCACAATTGACCAGAATTGGCCAACAGGAAAGGTCTCGTGTCCCACCAGGACAACGCTAGGACATACACATCCACAGTTAGTCGCCAGAAACTTCGGGAGCTTAGTTGGGAAGTTTTAATGCATCCGCCATACAGTCCGGCCTTGCACCAAGTGATTATCATCTTTTAATTACATTGAAATTTTTTTTATAATAAAAAATTAGTATCTGGGGAGGATTATAAAAATCGACTACTAGAGTTTTTTTGCAAATAGAGAGCAGGATTTCTATGAGAATGAAAATGACAACAAAAAGATGCATATTTTGCCCAAATCGGTCATCCCGAAGCATGTTAAATATATTCTTTTATTTCATATAAAAATAATGAGTTTCTTTTTCCCCAAACTAATATATAGAACTCCATAAAAAGAAAAACAGCCCAATACCATTATTGATCCATGCTTCCCAGAACCCTTGTGACATGAGCCATTCATTTTTAGATTTTCTCACGGTAATTTTTTTCATGGCAGCGTCTTTAATATTTTATTCATCCGAGAGCATAATATTTCTCCACTGAGCCGGATTCCAATTAGTGTAACCTTTTCGAAAGGCAATCTGGCTTTCCGATTCTTTTCAGATATAAAAACTTTCTTGATAGTTTTCGGGCATGTAGGACTGCTACCATAGCTCTGCGACGCCATGTTCTTGAGGTTATATCGAACGATAACCATCTCACAAATTCCGTTGAACTCTTAAGTGGGTACTTTTTAGTGCTATGACAATTTGTTGATCAAGTCCGAACTGATGTTCTTTTGCAGCCTTCCTCCGTGCTGAACTGTCACTACTGATATAGTTGCATAAAATCAACCAATAATCTTTTATTTATTCATGAAATATTTCTCCGAAATCTTATTCTGCAATAAATAATTTTCATAATCATGGGTAATTATCTCCAAGAATTGAAAAACAGACATTTGTTATTGAAATAAAACCGATTTTACATGATCTAAAAGAATCGAAATAGATGTAAAAATCAAAACGTAATTATAACGGTAAAAATAACTAAAATATTACGAGCTCATCTATACTACAGAGTTGCATTAGTTTTGTCCAAGCAAAACTTGAGACATTTCCCTTATCCATAAATTTTGTATTTATTTCATAATGAATTTGGCATCAATGCTTTTTTAGGAGAATAAAGTAACCGACTTTAAACTGAAAAAACCAAAACAATATCTTTATTTTGGAGCAGTTAATGCGGCATTTATTAACATTGTAATTTTAGTTGCTTTAGTTTTGGCCACCAGTGTATATATACACTGCTCCTACTTTTGAAAAAAAAAAAAAAAAACGAAATGGATTACCCTGTACTTGTCATAGTTAGGAGGACATACGGAATTCGAACATACAAATTGTACTTCCTTTACATAAACAAATTATCACGAGTGTACAAAGGAAACAAGTAATGAATGCAACAACATACATTTATGTGTGCGTGTTACGATCCTCAGCACACACACGCATTCAATTGGTGGTCGTATGTGTGCAAGAATTTATGTATGTGAAAATGGGTAGGTATTTTTGAATTCAAAACAAGTCAACAACTCGCCTTCAATGATGATGCCGACGCCGCCGCCAACAAACAGCAGTAATGGACGATACCAATATGATTCACCCCAATGTCAATGTTGCAGTATTAAGGATGTACATCCAAGCTATGTACAACACACACCAGGTATTTAGAAAAATGAGAGAGAGACAAAAACGTTTTCTTTATTACTGGTTTACATTTACGGCCTAGCATTCCTGTCAACTATGTATGCATTTTCTACCTACATCATTATTAAACAACCACAAATGGAAAATAGTTTTTTTAGGAGATGGAAATTATGAAGTTATTCCAAAAAACCGCGTAACATGGATAAAAAAATTAAGGGTTTAAAACCCTGTTAAACAATGACAAAAAGTAAGAGAAAAAGAGGCGTTAAATAGGTAATTTTGGAATATGGGTTAATCCAAATTATAAAAAAACATGAATTTGGATAACATTAAAAAATCGTAAATCATATAAGAATATCTTCTAAATTACTAGTAATTGTAGAGTTATATAGCAATTTTTATAACGTAGAATCCTTGAATAGGTGGAGAAATATAATGATCTCGGATGTATTAAAATTAAATATTAAAGATTTAGACATGAAAAAATTGCCAAAAATGAAAGGCTCATGCCACAGTATTGCAAGGGTAAAGAAGATTGTCAAAAATCAGAATATAATGGCAAACACAATCATCAGGTATACACCCTTTAAAAAAATCTTTGGAGTATCATAGATAGTAAATCAAAATAGTTTCATAAACAAACAGACATAACCCAAAGGATCAGGATGAAAACAATAGTATACCTAAGGATCAAATTTAGCATTTTTTTGATTCAATGCCTCGTAGGTGTCCAGTCGTAATGAAAAAAATTGTTTACGACGTCGATAACTAGAACAAAATTGATTTAGTTTTGACCAAAATAAACTAATAAAAAATTGTAATATCATTCTGATAACGACAAATTTGTTAATTGTACCCTCCACATACATATAATGAAATCTGCGAAATTTCGATACCTTGGGGATTGAGGCTCGTTTTAAAATCAAATTGGTGGTAATTTGGTATTTTAGATCCTCGTTGAGTGGCAAATCAGCTTATCAAAATTTTGGTCGGTAATTTGGAATTTTGATTCTCATTTGGTAGTAAATCTTTATATCAAATATAATCAATATTGATTAGGGTAGTAGGGGAGACTGGGGCACCTTCGGCATCGGGGCACCTTCGGCAATCGCGTTTTCGATATGAAGCTCTCACCGTACATCACTAGTTTCGATACATAGGTATCGAATATCGAAATAAATAACTGACACAAAGTTTGAAATTTCTAGCTAATAAACTTATTTAGATACATGGGTTTTTATATTTTTATAGATGTTTCTGTAATATTTCAATTCCACTTCGTAAGTATTTCGCGTATAAAACTTTTTAAATTTTTAAGACAATATTATTAAAAAGTGGTTAAATACGATGTGTATTATTATAGAAATGTTTAAAAATATAATGTTTTTAAAAACTAATCGAAAAAAATGAAAAAAACTATAAAAAGTACATTCGGGGTACATTCGGCATTTTAAAGTGGGGCACATTCGACCATATACAGATTGTGCAATATTATTTCCTTAAAATGTTTTTGAGTTTGTCTTTAAAACTAATCCTTTAATATGGTCCGAAATTGCATATATAATATCAAACGTACTTGTATTGACGAAAATGCGATAAAAAACCCTTATTTCTGATGTTGTGTGCGAGCTTGAGATGTAAACGTACGCCGTTGGAAAATAAAGCCCTATAATTCAAGCATTGTGTGGCGTATTAAAACCAAATAGAGCCTTTAGAGGATCAGAATTTCAACCAGACTGATAGCGATGACAATTACCCGGCTATGACTATGTTGAATAAGTACTGAGATATAGAGCTCTAAAAAAAAGTGCCGAAGGTGCCCCAGTCTCCCCTACCTCCCTTCCTGATATTTTATTTTGCGAAAGAGGAAGAAAATATATGATTTTTTTCATAGGGGATGTCCATACTTCCCGAGATATAGGCCACTGATGTTCAACAATAATGTGCTCAAACTTCGTCCGACCGATGTAGGTAATATGTTTATGGTTGAAAAACGTGCACATTTGAAACAATCTCCTATGGAGTGGTGGAAAATTCGACTACGCGATCAAAAATGGTCCTAAATAGACACTCTTCGACCGCGAATTTATGACATTCTTCTATGGACAGATGAAAATTATGCTACGGGATCGACAATTTCTTTTATTTTATATAAAAAAACGAATAACATCACCTTCAACAGCACATAAATGAAAGATGTGCACATATGAGTTACGGATCTTCATAGGTCCACACCTCGGGAAGTATGGACTTCCCCATGAATGTCATGTGTTCGTGATCGTCTCACTAAGGTAAACATTTTCGAAAAGTCTGAGATAAGCACACAGAACTGAACAAAAGCCATTTTAGATTCGCGAATATTCCTGAGAAAAACTATCAATATTGGCTTCATATAATGTTACATAGTAGCCCTATTTCTTTTACCAACGAGTTGAGTTGGCAGACGTAGGTGAACGTAGAAACCTCTGTCTTGGAAACGAATTTACTATTGTTTATTGTTTGATTTACATGACATATTCTGCATATAAAGTCCCAATTGATTTAAGGTAATTTTGGCCTGGTTAGCCGGTCTGGCTCGACATTGATCACCTCCTTTATAACTTGATCTTATTTCATTAACAAATAAACCAAATATTTAAAATTTCCCTATGACTACAGTAGACTGTAAGTATCTCACTTCCTGCCTAACTGTGTTTGCCGCCACTTTAATTTGTTTACTCAAGCAGCTTGCGGCGACCAACAATGTTGACCACGGCGAATGCATTTCAATTTTTTGCCATTAGGATCCGCTGTACTAGTAGGTATTTCCTAATTACAGCTTTAATTGCGTAGTCCACACATTAGTACTTTTAGATAGATTACTTCGCGATGATGATATGACGATGGCTTGCCACAAACAGGATGTGTAGTAAAATGCCAACCAAAAGAACAAAAGGTAGATTAGATTTCATTGATAAAAGCCTATATCATAGGCCAGCCACTACTTACCATACTTGGACGACGTGTGTTCGTCAATAGTTTCCATCCTGATAATTCAATCACAAAACTTCCCGGCAATGAATATACAATAAAGTGTGCGTGTGTTTGTTTGTACGTTTGTATGAATGAATGCTCACAGAGCTTAAACAGACTTGTAAACATTAAAAAAATTGTTTAGATTTTTTTCTGGTTAGATATTCAGGTAATAGGAGCGTTCCTACTGATATTTTGGAAATCCACAGTAAATTTCCCACACTAAAGACTGATTATTTTGATGTGTATAATGAGTAATCCTTTAGAGAAGCAGCATCGCAAACACGCACACAATTTAATATATCATCAGTGACCTTTCTTTTTCCACACTTCAACGCACTGAAATGTTGTAAAAAATTTTACTTTTACAACAATCTATAGGAATGTGTATCCTTGACGATAATAGATAAAAAAGAGAAAATATTTTCGCATATAAAACTTTGGCTAGCATTCAGGTAGTCGTGGGCTAGGCTAGCAAACAATATTTTTTTTCAGTGAGATCTTTTTTGTTCACTCAACGCGCAGCAGCATTCTTTTATTCTTCTCATTCCACGCAAGACAACAACCATTCAAGGACGATAACGAGACGCCGCGAATTTTTATTAAATTTTCAAGAATTGTATTTTATCATCGATTTGCCCACAAATGCATTTTGCCAACATACACACAACAAAATTAGCATTTTCCACCATTGCACCACATTTTTATTAGCATTCCGTTTGATTTTTTTATTCAATTTGACAATTTCAATTGATATTTATTTCCTTGTCTGCTTTAACTTTGAACTCGTATTTCTTTTCTGTTTTTTGTTGTTTGTATTCTGTACGCCACCTTCCTATAACTTGCGTGACAATAGCGCGACGGCGGCAAATTATGAACTGTTGTGGCGCGGCCAAACAAAAAATTGAATTCAACGATCGTTTGCTATGTTTTGTTGTTGTTCTCTTTGTTGTCAAACTCAATTGATGTGCGATGTTTTTTTCGTAGCTCACCCTCAGCTGGCGTGTAATGCAACCCTGTAGCATTGTCAAGGGGATAACAACCATGTGAAAACAATGTTGTCTACTCAAACGTATTTTAAGAGTGTTTTAAAACGGGAAAATGATTGACATAATTTAAATTGTAATAGAGGCCTTTATGACACCGATATATATATATACATAATTTGGGGAAAATTAATCGTGAGGAGTTTTGGCATAATATATACGGATCAAAAATTCTTATTAACTATGACAACATCCGAATCAATTTGACGTTATTGATGTCCTGAATATGAAAAAAAAAATACTCTTGCACAACTGGGGTTGACATCTGGCCATAGGGGAAAACCTAAAACCCTGGGTCGAAAGCCGCCCACCCACAAATATATATCATTTAAAAACTAAACATTGGACAGCCACATCATATGATGCACGACAAAAATATATGTATACTAGCATATGCCCGCTACTTTGTTAGCGGATGTGAGACCTATTTAAACATGTCTAAAGCTAATCAACATACAACCAATATTGACCATAATAAAAATGTTAGTACGAATTAGTTCCTTTCTTATCTTATAGTACGTATTTACAAAATTACTACCATGTTGCCTATTGCTATTTTTATTTATTGTTTTTATTAATTTATTCATTTCAAAGCCGTGCCAAAAAACCTTATATGGCCAGTATGCTACAAAATAAACTTAGACCAAATTAAAAATATAAATTTTAAACAATAGTATTTCTTTTCATGTAACATGTCATGGTACAATTATAAAAGATAACAGCAAATCCCTGCTGATTTGATTCCAACGTAATACTAGTGTCAATATGAATTTGACAAATTATGTTTTTAAAAATCACTCAACAGGAAAATTGGGAACGCATACAATTCGAAATTGTTCTTTATTAAATGTCCTCCCGTATTCATTTTACTCAATCTGCCTGTTGGGAAAGTTTGGGGAAGCAAATGTTTCTTCATTGAATAACCCACAATTCCCTGCATTTTCATATGTGTTACACATATAAGTGGCAATAGCTCAATTATAGGAAAAATGTGGAAGCGATACAAATAAAAATTTGATAGATTTTCATTCATGTTTTTCAAATTTTATTTCGAGGATTTGAAAATATTTTATTTTCAAAATAAATATAATTTATTTGTTTTGTACATTTTTCTGTCAAATGACGTTGACGTTGACTAGTATAACTTACAAAAACAAATTTCCATGTGGTTGTTGTATCGTTTGTTGCACAACAACACTTGCTGTTACCTTCTTTTATTATACCATGGTAACATATGTACTTCTTACATCGCCTAATCCAATACCCCAACAGTGAAATTAACATTTTAAGATTCCAGCTCTATCGGTTCAAATCCATATTTGGTACAATTTAGTACACATTAGTGCAACCTTCCAAAACTTCTTGCAACTTCCTTTGAATTATTCAAAACTATCTATATCGTACAATCGATGTAAATTTTGTTTACGATTTCAGGATTCCAATTCTATATAAATTGTACCAAATTTGATATACAATTCCAAACAATCCCACGGCAGCGGGTTCTACGACACCGGATTGACCCGATTTATTTCGGCCAGCGGCTGCCAACCCAGTTATATATGTTTGTATTGTTTTTCTGTTTTGGGAGCAACATATCCCGGAATGCTTGCTCCGGATTCTTTTGGTCCGTGCCGGGATCGAACAAAACCCCGGACCGTGGTTCTGTTCGGTTTGCCAGAACATCATTCACCACAGGTCAGTGTCGGTGAGATGTAATGGGTGCAGGGAGTGGGTGCACTTCAGGAATTGTTCCGGGTTGGCCCGGTTGCGAGACTACAGCGATAGGGATTACGTTGCCTCGTGCTGCGACAGCACAATCCCCAGTGAGTCTACGTCGTCGTCTTCTTCGTCGGAGTACGGAACTCCACCGCAGTCTCCCGAACAGCAACCAAGTACGCAGCACTTAACACCGCACGTTGCTGTTCCCACCCCTGATAGTGCATCGTTTCTGCAATTTAATTGCAACGGTCTTCGAGGAAAAATAGATGAGATAGTGGATTTCATGAATCGGAAGAATATTTTGGTCGCGGCGGTGCAGGAAACCAAGCTCAATGAAAATTGTAGCCTACAGCGTTGTGATGGTTACAACGTTCTGAGGAAGGATCGCACCAGAAGTGGAGGTGGAGGCCTAGCATTCCTTATGCACCACTCTGTTCAATACAGGCCTATCTCGCTTGAGCTTGACTCTAGTGACCCATACATGGAATGTATGGGGGTAGCAGTTAAATGTGGTACTGCCGAGGTAGAGGTGCTTAACGTGTATATACCGCCGATTAATAGCTGTGAACCGCGTTATTCGCCTAACATTAGTTTTCTATTGGAGGGCAATAACCGTCTGGTGCTAGGGGACTTCAATGCCCACCACGAGTTGTGGCATTCCGTCCTAGGTAATGACCAGAGGGGAACAGTGCTGGCAGAGCAAATTGATAGCTCCACGTTCTGCACGGTAAATGAGGATGCCCCCACCAGAATAAGGGGAGAGTGTCACAGTTCGCCAGATATAACCATCGTGTCACCGGGTCTGATAAATGACGTCAGCTGGCAGCCCGTCATTTCTCTTGGATCAGACCATCTCCCCATAATCGTCTCCATCAGCAGACCGCCCGATTTCGTCATCTCTGAACGCCGCACTTTCCTTAACCATAGGAAAGCCAACTGGCAAGGATTCAGAGAGTTCACCAACCAACGCTTCAGAGAACTTTCCATTCCTTCTGATGTACGGGTAGCAGAAAGGAAATTCCGAGGCATCATCACTGCTGCAGCTGCTAGATTTATACCTGCTGGTCGAATACCCGAGATGAGACCCAATTTCCCAGCAGAAGCAGTTGTTCTGGCAAATGAGCGTGATGAGCTCCGTCGATCTAACCCAACAGATCCCAGGGTCAGGGAACTTACGTTGGAGGTCAGCAGATTAGTCGCGGAGCACAAGCGGAATAAATGGTTGGAGCACCTGAAGAGTTGCAACATTGGTACCGGAGTAAGTAAACTTTGGGCAACGGTTAAGTCGCTCTCGAACCCTGGTAAGAAGGATGATAGGACCTCAGTCACATTTAACGACGAAACTGTGACTGATCCGAAGAGGTGCGCAAGTCATTTTAACCGACAGTTCGTCGAGCACCCCGAGAGTGACAAGGCGAAGAGAAGAGTACTTCGTCGTATAAGATCTCTTCCAGCCGAGGAGGTACCACCACAGTTTACAATGGGTGATGTTGCATGTGTCATCCGTAACGCGAAGTCATCAAAAGCGTTGGGCCCAGATGGAATATCCATGTGTATGCTGAAGCAGCTGGACGAGCCAGGAGTCGAGTACTTAACCAACGTCCTCAACTTGTCGATAGCCACCCACGTCGTCCCCGAAGCCTGGACTATGGGCAGGGTGGTCCCGCTACTGAAGCCGGGCAAGGATGCCAGCAAAGGTGAATCGTACAGGCCGATTTCACTTTTGTCGCCAGTAGCGAAGACTCTTGAGGCGTTACTCCTCCCCAGCATTAGAGAAAGCTATCCAGTTGCGGATCATCAACATGGATTCCGTAAGCAACACAGTACAACAACAGCGTTGCACGCCATTTCCACGCATATAAGTAGAGGACTTAACCAGAACCGGCCGTGCGATAGAACAGTGTTGGTAGCGCTTGACCTATCAAAAGCCTTTGATACTGTCAACCATGCCACGCTGTTTGAGGACATTGAGAACACTTCCCTCCGGCCGAGTTTGAAACGTTGGATAATCAACTATATGTGTGGACGCCAGTCGTACGTGGAGTTCCGGAACAAGAAGTCCAAACCCCGTAGAGTTAAACAGGGAGTTCCCCAGGGTGGAGTGATTTCTCCGGAACTGTTTAACCTCTACCTTTCCGGTATTCCACGCCCTCCGGACGGCATTGAAATCGTTACGTATGCAGATGATTGTACGATTATGGCGTCGGGTCCCATTGTTGAAGACATATGTGTGAGGTTGAACGCCTATCTCATCGATTTGGCAGCCTTCTTCAAAGCGAGGAATATGAAAATATCCGCCTCGAAGTCGTCGGCCACACTATTCACCACATGGACTGCGGAGATGAGAATGCCGTTGAATGTGCAGGTCGAGGGGCATACAATTCCGACCACCAACTACCCCAAAATACTTGGGGTCACATTCGACAGCATGTTTAAATCGTCCGCGCAAACCACAGCTATCTGCGATAAGCTGAAAAGTAGGAACAAGGTCCTCAAGTCGCTTGCCGGCAGCACTTGGGGCGCAGATAAGGAAACCTTGTTGACCTCTTACAAAGCGATAGGTCGGTCTGTGGCTAGCTATGCGGTTCCAGTGTGGTCTGCGAATTCTAGTGATACGCAATGGAGAAATATTCAGACCTGTCAGAATGCCGCCCTGAGGACAGCGACAGGGTGCCTCCTCATGACACCAGTGGACCATCTTCATGAGGAGACGAAGATCCTTCCCGTACGTCAGCATAGCAATATGCTTTCGTTGCAGTACCTGCTCGGGTGTTTCAGGGACGATCATCCCAACCATCATATGGTGGATAGGACTCCCCCACCCAGGCGTGTCAGGAAGGATCTGCATGATCTAGAGAGAGAGGTCCAACGATACAAAAGGGAGCCTCTAGATCAAGTTGCCTATCGAGCAGGTCTGAATGGCATTCATACAGATGCAGTAGCCGCAGCGCTGAACGGTTACAAATTGAATGCCGTCCTCGGAGCTCACCCCCCACCCATAGCAGCTGAAGAACGTCAGCTGCCTAGACAAACCAGAGTAGTTTTGGCTCAGTTACGTTCTGGATGGTGCAGTCGGCTCAATTCGTATTGGGCACGGATTGATGACCAGGTGCAGGATGTCTGCCCAGCATGTGGTACAGGCCCTCATACCACACTGCACTTGTTCAATTGCCCAGCCAAACCTACTCACCTCACTCCGGAAGATCTGTGGTTACAGCCAGTGGAGGTAGCTGCATTTCTGAATCTGGAGACAGAACTGGAGGAAACATAACAGAAAACATGCAATTCATACAAACTGCTACAACAACAACAACAATTCCAAAACTTCGTACATAGTCCAAAATTCAAATTGTACCAAAGTTAGTACCATTTAGTACCCTAATCGGTATTAATAGACCAATCCAACAGTAACATTATTTCCAAACTTCAGTTGTTTTAGCTCTATTGGTCTACCCAAATACACATTTGGTCATATTTAATACACATTCGTACAAATTTCCAAAGCTTTCCCAAAGCATATCCCAATCCTACACGCCAATAATGACACTAACTCAAATTTTCAGGATCTCAGCACTATTGTTTCACCAAAATGTCAAATTGTACCAAAGTTAGTACCATTTAGAACACATAAATATGAATTTCCAAAACTTCATCCATACACCAATCCTACACTTCAACAGTAACCATATTTCCAAATTTCAGTGTTCTAGCTCGATCGGTTCACCCAAACACTCGTATGGTACTATTTAGTATACATTAGCACAAATTTGTTAAACGTACTACATATTCCAATCATACACCCCAAACAATAATCCCAACTCAAAATTTTAGGATCTCAGCACTATCGATTCACCCAAAATTCAAATTGTACCAAAATTAGCACCATAAGTATAAACCCATAAGTATAAACTACCAAAACTGCATCCATTTTATCTGTCACCTTTGGACCAACAGTGACCCTCACGAAAATTTCAAGATTCTAGCTTTAGGTGTTTCGTCTGGGCGTTGATGAATCGTTAAGTCAGTCAGTTTACTCTTTTATTAGACTATTAAATTAATTTGTTAAAGAAGTTAAATGTCCCTTCCAATCTTTTTTTGAGTAATTTTAATTCAATTTGTCAGAATGAAATTTATATTGATATTTTTTTTACTTAATTTACTTTTATAATTTTAATTGTTTTATTATACATAGTAATTATTATTTTGAGTAATTTATCATTTAACATGGACAGACGGATATGCATAAATCTACTCAGAAAGTGATTCTATTAATGTTCTCAAAGGGAACCATGGACCTATCTCGTTTCCTTTAATTTGCTGCAAGACAGGCATAACTCAAAAATATCTTTTATACATTCTAATTGAGAAGCTGTAGAAGTTCCTCTATCCCATATAAAGTGTGAGTAAATTGAAAACTTAAAACGCTTTTTCTGCAATATATTTTTTTAGTTATGTCTGTCTTACAGCAAATGAGCGATATGCTCAAAGACATAATACCCTGTACCACAGTGTGGTGAAGGGTATAAAACGAAAATGGTAGTACACATTACCCGAGGTTCCTCTAATGTGTTGCAAGAGTTGTTGTACAACCATCTTAAACAAAACATACTAATGACACGCGAAATCTGAATCATTTATAGATAATGTTCGACAATCGACCGGAATGGGCTAAGATTCATGGCCAATCATCCTTTAGAATGTGGATTTTGTTGTAGAGGAAAAGCGTCAACTATAATTTACTTTAAAGTTAAATTAAATTTGAACTTTTTCATATATAACAAAATAAATATTCTTGAAGATGATTATGAACAATTATGTTTTTGTAAAATTGTTAATTGTTTATTAACATACATATCGTTCTTTTTTTCGTTGACATAAATTTAAATACAAATGTATTTCGGTAAATTTAACGGTAATGTCGCAGTGTAACCAACAGCAAATACTAATTTTATATTGGTAATTGGCAATGCGAAAGTTTGTCAATCTGTCAATACGTACAATCCATTTGACATTTGGTCAATACAACAACATAACATTACGTTGTCAGAGGAAAACATTGAAGAAAATTCTCAACCTTGCACGAATCTTCTTAAGAAGAAAACAGTTTTAAAACAAAAATATCACTGTTATTATACGAAACTGTCTGTTTCAACATTCTAACGGTTATAATTTGAATACCAAGGTTCTTACAAACACACACATACAAAACTCTTCCCAAACATGTTGAATCCCAATCAACAGCAGCAACAACAATCGGCGGCCAATATGAAATCTTCGTTCAGTGTAACTGAAGAAAATCGTCATTACTTGAAATTATTCATCCAGACCTACCATAATCTACCCATCTTGTGGGATACAACACTACGCGACTATACAAATCGAGATAAACGTGCCGAGGCATATCAACAGTTGGTTCCAATTTATAAATATTTAAAGCGGGATGCCAACTTACAGGATGTGAAAAAGAAAATCAATACTCTAAGGACCAATTATCGCAAGGAATTGAAAATTGTTGAAAGTGCCCGTAGGCAGGGGACAAGTTATCAGCCACGTTGTTGGACATTCTATGAATTGGATTTTTTGAGGAATGCAGAGAAATTTCTGGCCATTGATCCGAATTATATTAAAACTGAAACACCAAATACCCCAGCGACGAATTCGCCCTCTCCATTTGGTCTATTTGGAGAGACTGCAACACCACAGAGTAATTTTTTGGAAATATCACCGTATGGATTTCGTATGAACAATGGTAGTTCACCGCCACCAAACATAACGCAATTGTTTCAAAAGTCCTTTGGTCCCAATAGTAGTAATAGTACTAATGCTGTTGAACAAAAGCCTCAGGCCATTTCGGACTCAGGGAATTCCTTAAATAATGTAACCGAGAGCATTACAAATGAGGGAAATAATATAAATACATATAACCAACAGATGTCATCGCAGGCGACATCCTCCACAACAAACAGCGATGGTGGAAATAAACGTTTGAAAATGTCTAATAACAATCAGTTTCATGCATCACCTTCATGTAATTGTCTATCCTCCAATTATCCTGAAGAAGAATCCGTCACACGGACCTGGGCATATAAACTTAAACGTTTACCACGAGATCAACGTCTGTTCGCTGAAAAGTTTATCAACGATATTCTCTTTGAAGCGGAATCGGGTACTTTACATCGTGGTTCAATGCAATTGAATGCCTTTGAACCCTATGTACGATTCGAAGAGTCTCATGTCGATGAGAATACCAACAGTACAAGTCATGATAAATCCCAAAGTCCACAAATTACGACAAATTGTTCTCCAAACACAATTGGCAGCACCGGCATGCAAACACAGAGTCAAAGCCAAGGACATGAAAATAATTCGTCAGCAGAAAGTGGTGCTAAACAAACGAATTTAGAGTTTAATTCGTATAATTAAAAAAATGAAAATTTAAATTACTTACCCTGTGTGGGGGTATTGGAATGTAGATTTAATATTTAAAAATAAGGTTCTTATTGCAAAGACCAGCAGGAATCCATGGAAAAAACCAATATACGGAAAAGTAAAATAAAATATTTGAAATATCTAGTTATGGGTTATAAAAGAATTTAAATTTTTCTAGAAAATATCAACGACTTGAGGAGTGTAATCAAATAGTCCATGGCAATGAGGTCTATGATCCAGAACGACCTAGGTAAAACGGTGTACATTTATTAGTTCTACCTTGGATACACATATGTCACTGAGGTGCAGATGTTCCATATTAAAATTTATACTTGCCCGTCAGACAGCTGTACATACACGGGTCTTCAAAAAAAAAAAAACAGTCTGGTCGACTGAGTGAACATTTTTCTACGGGTTATTTAAAGGAAAGTCGTCTTAGACTCCTGTGGTGACCTGCAAAATGTTGTGATAAGACGGCCGATTCGTACCTACATAGAACACTTTCTAAATACCAGAGAAGATGGTGCAGGGCTTGCCAATATTTTATCATTAAACTTTATATCCATGCTGTTCAATAGATTATACATGCTTATGATTTGAACTTTTCAATTATTTGGGTACTTTATAAGCCCAATTTTTCCGGAGACTAATGCTCGACGGGATAGAATCTTTACAGTTTTCATTATTTTCCATACAATACCCAATTATTTCGAAAAGACTTTGGTCCCACTACTTCACCTTTTCGTTTTTCAGAATCCATATATTTCATTATTTGTTAATTTTTGGAAATCTTTGTTTATTATGTTATACAAATTATACAAAACAAATAATAAAAAAATATGTAAAATAAAGCCCAACTTAAAAATTATTTGTTAACTTAAATAAAAAACGAACTTTGAAATATTAAGGAACATTATATATAAACATTAAAAGAAAATTGTTCATTTAGGCCAATTACAAAAAATAAATATGCAATGTCTTAATAAAACAAAATAATATCAATGAAAAAAACATGAGCAAATGTAGGAGTAGGAGGTTATATGCGGTTACTTTTAACAGTATATCAATTGGTTGGCTAAATTTGTGTAGGAACAAATGCTACAACAATCATAAAATATGCAACGAGCATATACTACAATTATTTTTCGCAATAATTTCGCAGATCATAAATTTAAATTCAAATTTGTTTCGAATATTGTTATACTGTCAATTGACTCTTTGGTAATTGGCCACGCCTCTGGCAAACCATACAAACGGCGAGGCGGCAGCAAACATTAGACCAGCACCAATCATTGGTCGATGCAATATCCATGCCACGGCAGCTATAACCAATGCCATTGAGAGAGAAAGTAAAACGTTGGCGCCAACTGGGAATCGTGGATCGGGTGCAAGTGCCGAGAGAAACTGAATACGTGACACTGAAAATGAAAGTATATTTATAATATATTCTGAAAATTATGTTACATACTTACATATTAGATGTAATAAAGTCGATGTACATGTTACACCGAAAAATACCAGAACCCAACCCATAAAACGGAAGCCCCATGTGGTTAAGCGTTGAGCATGATGTTCCTTCTTAAACACCTCAGTCAATGAATGTTCACCCGGGTAGACAAGTAAAATTTTAACACCTTGACTGGTTACATATGGTTCGATTTTGTTCTTGACAAGTTTCCCAACAATGGTGTACTGTAAAGAAAAGAACAAGAAATATTTAATTTTTAGATACGAATTAACAACAACGGAGGAATTGAAACGTAAAGCTAGGTGGTCAAGTTTAGGGCCTAGTCATGTATTATTAATATACTATACTAATATATGTACTACAAACTGTCCCGATTAGGATATATATTTTTCTTGTTAATATCAATTTTCCATCGATATCTGTCCAAAGTTCTCAAGAGACTCTCATATTTTCCCATGCTTTTTATAAGTCTGTATAACAAAATGGGTATTACTATAAAAATGTTGAAAATTCTGATTAAAATTGTAATTATTTTGTTGAAGAAGTCCATACTTGCTCTGAATTGGGCTTTCGAACTTTCACTAGGGCCCTTACATGTCTTTTTCTCTTATGGACAGTTCTAAATCACCTACGCGACAGAATCTCCCTAGAATAGTAGAATAGTTTTCGAGGTCGGATTTACGACTTTATTTTATTGATATAAATTCCAAAATCGATCTCGCGACTATATTCCCTTTCAAATATGATAGTATAGTATGCACTTCTTGCCCTTCAAATAGAATAGTATGGACTTCTTTGATAATATATTAAATGTTTGCTATTAGAACTTCAAACGTTTCACATAATTACCCAGTGAATTTTAAGTCTTGAAAAATACAAGGTTCCCCTTGAAGCTTTGGATCCATAAATCTGATTTTGAAATAAAAGCTATTATATTTAAATGCACTCTTGGAACACATTTTGTTTTCATAGAGATTCTTTTTTGTTTAATACTCACCATTTCACCTTCCATGCCGGCAAAGGAAAATAATATTCGTATATCACCTATTTCAGGATTAAAAATATCATTCGTATGATAATATAAACCCAAATGCAATTTAATTGACGGATCCTCCGGCCTCGTATCTGATGTCAATTCAACATAATTATTGAATTTATTTTTAATATCGGCACCCAACTCAAAACGACCAATATAAACGGCATCAGCTGTTTGTGTGGCCGATTCTATGGGAAATTGTCGGGGATTTTGATGTCCAGTTTGTATATAAAATGAACGTGAATCGACAACATGATCACGCCAATCTCTTGTATAATAATAAGTGCGGTCTTCCGTATGTACCGAGGCCACACTTTCTCCATAATTGTGTTCTCTATAAGTAGAAAAAAATACATAATTCAAAATTTGTCGATTCGTCTCCATAATTCTTTATCAGTTCGTACACCGTCTCCTCAACCCACTGATACATCTGAACTCTTCGTTTAAGTTTTACAGCCAGCACTTGTATATTATAATCCGGTTCGGTTAATGGTTCTCCAACAATTATGGGTCCAGTGATATGTACAATTCGATCATTATAGATTGGTTCAATTTCGTCGGCACCAGCTTCGAGGGTTACTGCATCATCCAAAGCTTCGTCTAATGACATTATTGTATGTACGGCTCGTCCCTGAAACAAGGCCATAGATAATTATGGAAACAATGAAGGATACTTTTATCTCAACTAATACCTCATTCCAAAAAAGTACACCGGCACCACCAATAAATAGAACCAATCCAAATGTTGCTATTAACCAACAGGAACGATACGCTTCGGCAAGTGTCATGATTAGGACATTTATCTAAATTCGTTTAGCTTAGAAAAGAATTATGCATTTTGTCCGGCTATAGAACCAAGTTGTGGTCTTCCGCTACGAGATTCAATAAAGCTATTCACTAAAAAGAACCATGTGAACTATTACTTGGCTTATGCTACATTTACATTCGCTCTCCACCGAAGTAAGACGATGACAGTCCGTCTGTTGCAACCATGACAGTCCGTCTGTTGCAATCACGCTTGAAAGGAATTGAGATAGGGTCAAGTTGGAAGATATATCACAGTACAATTATTCAAGGTAGGCTACAGCAACTTAGGTTAGGTTGAAAGGAGGGGTGGTAAACAGACAACATTTATGGTCTGTTCCCGTACTGCAAGAATCTACTACTTTTTACTACGATAACGAATTTTCCTTTATGATATCGAAGCAAATAGTAAAATCGAGTAGATTCTTGCAGTACGGGAACAGACCATTAGTAACAATTGTTACCAAATATCGAGTAAACAGGCACAACTATTGTTTTGGTAGAAAAGGGGCATCACAAGAAAAAACTGTAAAAGCAAATTTACATATAACATTTAATCACGATTAAAGGATGAATCAGGGTTTATTTTCTTAATCACGCTGAATTTACCATGATTTATCATACAAATTTAAATCATCGTGCAGCAGGTTTTATTTTAAATCATGATCGAAATCATGATACTACTGAAATGCAACGCGGGTTTTGTACGAAAAAATACAACCCTCCCACAATGTACCAAAATTTGCAACTGTTTCCCATGGCGTTTATTTTTAAATTTAACGGTTGACAAATACAAAAATAACAGATCAAAGAAAAATAAAAATTAATTATAGAATTTTTGTGTTTTAGGTGTTTTTTTTTTACTTTCCAAACGATCAGAGTATTGCGAAAACCTTTCCATTGTGGTAATTCTTCTATTCTTTTTCAAATTGTAAACAAATATTTTTGGCGCAAATTAATGATTTTGTATGTATACTAACAAACATCAGCTGATCGGCATATAGATCATGATTAAAGCTATGTGTAAACAATTAGGGTGTATTTCTGGATTTCGTTAATCGAGTCGATTTAAAATCGTATATGTAAATGTACTTTAATCAGTCGGTACCATTAACCCACCTGTTATTGTACCAGGGTTTATTCTATCAAATCAAAATACATATTATGTATATATGTGTGTATTGTTTTGAATAGCATGTCAAATAAATTCATTTTTTACCACGTTCGTCTGAATGTATTTAATTTGTTATGCATGAAACATTTCAATTAATTTCCCTACTAGATTTTGGAAAGAAATCCTAAAATGGCATATACATTAGAACTTTTTACCGGGTTAACCTACTTTATGTGTATTTATTTGACATATATGCAAAGGAATTGACAATTGAAGCCCACTGGTTTAACGAAATCCGGTTAAATGTAAACGTACTATAACCTTTCATTCATTTTTTGCGTTTTTAATTTTATGCTGAAAAAGTGTCAAATAAACAGAACCACTTATTGCGTATGTTTTTTATAATTGACAGTAGAAGTCTATACCTACATAGTTGCTCTTTTGCTATTCACCTCAAGTTACCCTGCCTTGTATTATTGTACCATGAGTGAAACCCTAAAAATGTTTTTGTATTGTAAATAATTTATATATATATATATATATATGGGTGGGTTTCAACTGTCAATTCCAAATAAATCCTCATAGAGTAGGTTAACCCGGTAAAAACACATTTTATATTTTTTTAGTTCACTAAGAGGTATGGAATCGACGTATTTCGCCATAGTGGGAAAGTTGAATATTTTTGTACGCTTCGTTGGAATTTATATAACGTTGTTAAGCATGATAGAATATATAACGTAATATGTTTTTAAACTTTTCAAGAAAACCAAAATTTTTATCTAAAACTTAATATGGACTTAAATCACTTTCAAAATAAACGACTCATATGTTTTCATTGGGTTTCAAATCTTCCTATCAATATTGGTCGTTTCGGTATTTTAGGCACGTTTTCAATTATTTTTCATCGATATCTTAAAGGAAAAATTGTGATCGTAGTAAAACACTGTGCATTCTTGCAGGTTCTGAAACAAACCAAATAATTTTTCTTAGTCAGCTGTTTTCCACAAACACTTGTATAAACCTTCTTTTGCCAATACCTTCCGACCTATAAATACCTTAATTGTTGTTGAGCCGTTTTTGTTTTGGTTTTATTCTTCACGGACAATCTTACCTTTAACTCCTCCTTGTAAACATGGTCACCAATCAACAATTGTGTCCGGATACAATTGCTCAGCTCTGTTTCTCCAAATTCAAAAGCCTGCCCAAAACCGGAAAGCCCAATGATACAGAATGGACAGTTTTGGCAGGAGTTGTTATGCACAACTCCAAAAATAACACAAACGAAGTGATCTCTTTGGGATGTGGTACCAAATGTATTGGGAAAAGTAAATTATGTCCAAAAGGTTTAATACTTAATGATTCTCATGCTGAAGTGTTGGCCCGCAGAGGAGTACTGAGGTATTTTTATTATCATTTGCAGCAAACATTGAAGGGCAACGCGGATACTGTGTTCGAATGGATGCCGGAGGGAAATAAATGTAAACTAAAAGAAGGCATATCGTTCCATTTTCTGTGTACACAAACACCTTGTGGAGATGCATGTATAATACAGGACGAAGGCGAAGGTTGTGAACCATTAAAGAAAAAATCAAAATTAGAAGATCGTAAGGAACATGACAAAACAAAAGAAGATTGTTGTGGCGATATGGTCTATACTGGTGCCAAATTGTTGGGATCTGATCATGCGGATGCCATTGAACAAATAGTTGGTGCAGTACGAACGAAACCAGGACGCGGTGAAAGAACCCTATCCATGAGTTGTAGTGATAAATTGGCTAAATGGCAAGTATTGGGATTCCAGGGAGCATTGCTGACCCTATTGTTAAATGAGCCAACTTATTTTGAAACCTTAACATTTTGTCAATCGGATTATGGTGCATTGGAACGGGCTATATGGAAGCGATTTGAAAATTCCACCTATAGTCACCAGCAATATATATTACATAAACCTAAGATACGGGTTTTTAAGACGGAAGGATTTCCACATCTTCAAAATGATCAGAAGCAACCATCTCCCAATGGGTTAGTTTGGTGTAATGTTCCAGATACTATGAGGTATGTGCCAATGACTTCTTATGGTAAATGTCCTTATTCGGAATGAACATTTAATGAGTATTTTATCTCTTATTTTTAGACCCTACGAAATATCCGTCAACGGCAAACGACAAGGTGTCACAAGTAAAAAATTACATACTCTACCGGCCGCCTTATCTATAGCTAAAATAAATCTATTGAAGAATTGTATTGACACTGTACAGTTACTACCAGATCTGTCTAAAGAATATTCTAATTTGGAATCAATGTCATATTTTGATGTAAAATCAAAAGCTAAAGAATATCAAAACGCATGGTTAGAACTAAAGGATAAATATTTTAAACAATGGACATTAAAACCAAATGATCTGCTATTTTTTAAAATGCAAGATGTTGAAGGGAGTGACAAATCGGAAACGAAAAATAAAAACAATAAAAAATCTGGCGAATAATTAAAATGGATTTATTTTTCAATATGATTCATTCATTAAATTTTGACGAATCAAACTTTTCACACCCTCCAATACGTGGTGAGTCTTCCAAAAATATAAAATCGGTCGGATTTTTTTGAATGATGGCTATTTTGAAATATTAATCAACGTAGAAAATTGTCTGATAATGAAGGCGAAGAGAAATAAAAATGCATTCCCTAGTGGGAAATACTCGAACCACGAAGCCATATAATGGTTTGTGTCTATGAAAAATCATTGCTCCTTAAAATATGCTTGCTTTAAAAATTATTTACAGTCGGTAATACCGTTCAGTTCATAACACCGTTCCGTCTTATATATAAGAAGTACAACCAAAAAGTCATTGATCAACAATATCTTTGCAGCAGGATGATGTTCATCGGTCGACCTAATCATCTTCATTGCTAAAGGATGGTTTCTTCGGAACATCCCCTCAGTCTGGTTTGGTCTTGTCTGGACGCTTGTAATACAGAAAAGGTTAAACATTTCCACCCTGAGAACTCTCTGTTCAACTCTACGGGGCTTGGAATTCTTATTCCGGAACTCCAGTTCGACTGGCGGCCACAACGTTCCAAACTTGGCAGGAAAAAAGTGTTCTATATGTCCTCAAACAGTGTGTCATGGTATTAAAGGCTTTTGATAGGTTCTATGGACGGTTCTGGTTAGGTCCTCGATTTATATGGAGATGGCGTGCAACGCTGTTGTTGTACTGGTTTCTTTCGCAACCCATGTTGATGATTCGCAACTAGATAGCTTTGCCTAATGCTCGGGAGCAGTATTGCCTCAAGAGTCTTTGCTACTGGTGAAAAAATGCAATCGGCCTGTATGATTCATCTTTGCTGGCATCCTTGCCTGGCTTCAGTAGCGGAACTACCCTTTCCTTTATCCAGGCTTCGGGAACGATGTTGGTGGCTATCGAATTGAGGTCTTTGGTCGGTTACTCAACTCCGGGCTCGTCCAGTTATTTCAGCATAACAATGAATATTCTGGCAGGGACCAACGATTAAAATTACTTGCGCATATCTTCGGATCAGTCACAGTTTCGTCGTTAATTGTGGCTGAGGTCCTATCATCCTTCTTAGCAGGGTTCGAGACCGACTTAACCGTTGCCCGCAGTATAATCACACTGGTTCCGATGTCCAACCATTTATTCCGCTTATGCTCCGCGACTATTCTACTGTCCTCGAACGTGAGTTAACTGACCATGGGAATTTACCTGGTTAGATCGATGGAGTTCATCACCCTCATTTGCAAGACCAACTGCATCTGCAGGGAAATTAGGTCTCAAGTCTAGCTGCTCCAGCTGCAATGATGTCCAGGAATTTCCTTTCTGTTATCAGATGGTATGTAAAGTACTCTGATTGGCGAATTTTCTGAATCCTTGCCAGTTGGATTTCCTATGGTTCAAAGGTGATGCAATCGTGCGGAATAGAACTGACGGGCTGCCAGTTGAAGTCATTTATTATACACAATGGTTATGACTGTCGAACTGTGACACTCTCTTCTTATTCTGGTAGCGGCATCTGCACGGTAAGGACGTACACAATGGTTATGACTGGCTATTGCCCTCCAATTGGTTTCTTATGGGGTAAAACTTTAATGTAGGTAGCCATTTGGAGTAGCCGCCATAAATTCATGCCTCCTAAACATCGAGAGTTTGGGGGGTTAAGGCTTATTTAAAAACCAGGGAGCGGAGCAGTAATTACTTGTCCAGATTACCTTCACGGTGGGTGAGTTGTGATTTTCGGATTATACTCTACTCGAAAACACACAAAAAATTATGTTTTCGGTCCATTTCATCCCAAAATTTTAATCTAATCATCACCGAAAATTGTAGGCGTTGTTCTTGACCATAACTGGAACTTCATGAAAAATTTCAAAGCCATCAGCGCGATATTTCTCCCTTTAATGTGGTAATGGATTACTTAATTATATCTGAATACGTAAGCACATGTAAATATTTGACTGTAACTCCCACATCTGAGTAGATACATCACTATATTTGGTATCAATTTAAAGGTCAACCACTCCTCTTGGATATGTTATCAACTCCTAGGGTCTACATCCTCCAGGAGTAAATATATATGCCATAGAATACAAATTTTGTCATTTTTCACACAAAAGTCAGGGTCCATTTGACCCGCTAAATATTGACCGATCTTTATCAAAACATGCACGCTTATTCTCTGACCCGATCCCCTTCTCCATGCAAAAATTCGCGGTGTTTGGGCCATAATTGCGGCCTCTGGAGCGACCAGAAAAACCGACAAAAATTTAGTATTTGGTCCATTTCATCCCCTAAATATTAACCGATCTTTTCCAAAAACAATAGGGGTCTTCATTGGCCAGAACCCATCCTACATGCAAAATTTCGTGAAGATTGGTCCATAACTGTGGCCTGTATCGTGTTTACAAATTATAATGGACAGACGGACGGACACACATGTCTAGATCGACTCAGCTAGTCGAGATATGACGATCGGTATACTTAAAGGTGGGTCTGGACCAATATTTCGCGGCGTTACAAACATTTGGGGCTGCACAAAGCTATAATACCCTGACAACATAGTTGTGTAGGGTATAAAAATTGCTTTAATTTTATATCTAGGTTTTCATTTTCTAAAACCTCTTTGTAAAAAGTAAAATGAAGCTACTAATATCGACATATTTTGTATACATATTCCATCCAATCCGCTTATTCAAATAATAGACTCACCATAGCCATTTGTTATACTGTTAACATTATGAATATGGACATCGGAAATTTGTAAATTGCTTATAAAATTTATAATGCAAATAATCGATGACTATAAACAAATCAAAAGTAATTCTCGATTTGTAGTCAAAGAAAGAAAAGAATGCCACAACAGATGAACACCGAAAAGAAGCTATACAAAAATCCCCTCAACAAACAACTATACATTTCAAGTGTTCTGTTGTCCGGCTGAAACCGCCAATGCAATATTTCCAAACCAATCATCGAAGTACATTTGTCAGCTCAGTCAATGGCTATGTTCATAAACATCCTTGGCCTCTTAGTTACCAAAGAAAACCCGAGGAAAAACTCCAAAGAATAACTGCGGAAGACACAAAAATCAATAAAGCAATAGAAACTATCTATTGGTTAGCTAAAATATTATTTTTTCTGAATGGCTGTTATATAAATTGCCTGGGAAGTATATTTTTCTTGTATAAATAAGGAATGAAAATAACAACAACAAAAAATCAATTGGCAAAGTAAACAAATTTGAAATCAAAATTAAATTAACTTTGAATAATGTGTGTATATTAGAGTGGGTAAAAATTTATTGCTGATAAGTATTTTAATAATGTTTTAAAATTCCTTAAATCGGTCGGAAAATTACACACTTAAACTTTTTACCGGGTTAACCTACTCTATGAGGATCTATTTCGAATGTACACAATGGAATTGACAATTGAAACCCATTGCGTTAACGAAATCCGGTACAATGTATACGTAATATTAGATTTGAAAACCCGGCAGGATATTTAGAGAAACCTTTGCGGGATACACAACCCCACATACAAAGAACATGGAGCTATATTGAAAACATATTCTGGGAAGACGTTTTTATTAACCTGGAATAAGGAAGTATATGTTACAACATTTGGATAAATAATTTAAATTATCAAAAATTAGGCGGCCTTTACCTTAAAACATTGACCAGTTGAAAATGTTCGGCTACGATGGTTTCCACTCTCCAAGTACTCGAAATGCCAAAACCACAAAAATGCAAATAAAAAAACCAAGCAATCTTTACGTGGGGGGCTTTGACCTGTAAAGATTGTCATAAAAGCATGAAAATACCAAAAATAGTATGGGGGTTTTGTAAAAAAATTGGTATATTCCAAAAATTCGCATGAAATCAGACAAAATAAATCTGGACCGAAGAAAAACTAAATAGTTGTCATTCTAGAATCATTTTTGTACACTCCGCAAAAATTCGGATATTTTGTACATCATTTAGATGAAATCTGCTTAAAATATATAGAACAAAAATTTGATACAATCCACTACGCGAATGAAGATTTCGACCTGATGCTGCCGCGTAACAAATGCAAGTACCTGGATTTTATTTTTGTCATGTGGGGGCATTATATACCGGAATGCCTGTTCCGAACACTTTTAGTCTGTGAGAGATATAGAGAAACTCCGGACCTGAATTGACTGTCAGAATCGTATCCATCCAAATGGGATGCAATGGAATTGGAGTAAAGTGTGGAACAGGAGATGCTTAATGTAGACATATTTTCGAAGAGTTGTTGTACACGGGATATTAGCCCACTTTTATAAGGTAATAACATTCTGGCACTATGATATTTCAATGTCCGCCATGAATTATGAAATTCAGTCCTATGCACGGTGAATGACAAGGAAAATGGCAACTCTGTAATACCACCCTATAATCGTCTCCGTTAATAGACAACTCGACTTCATAATATTTGAACTATGGGCACCTCAAAGCCGAGAAGATATCGCCACAATTTAGATGCTACAGATGTCCTCAATTTGTCAGCCACACATATATCCTGAAGCCTGGAAAGTAGATTGGATGAAGCAGCTACTGAAGTCTTGCAAGAATGGCAGCTGAGGTGAATCTTACAGACAGATTTCACTGTCGTCAGTAGCAATTACACTTGGGGCGCTATTCCCATCTAGCAGTGGAGAAGAATTGGCCTAAACATACACGAGTAGATTTATCACAGCTAAGATGCCTCAATTCGTAAAACAGACGAAGCAAATACAGTTTACACCCCTCCAGATTTTAGATACAGAGGAACCGGAACCAGACAATACATAATCAAGTCCCTTCTTGTATGTATGTTGTTACATCAACAACAAAACAGTTGTTTTAGACTTAATTCGGTACATTCTTCAAAATTTACGTTTAAATCGGGAA